TCGTCGGTGTCCTCGGCAGGCTCCGTGTAACTGCCGTCGAAATAATGAAAGATTTGGGCGTTCTGCAGCAGGAGTTCCAGTTCGAAGCTCCAGGTATAGAAATCTCTGCCGTCAAAGCAGGTACTTGTCTTTATCTTTGATATGATGAGAAACCTTGATTGCGCAGAGAGAATTGCCTCTTCACTGGGACGGGGAGTCTTGGGGGTTGAACCATTTGTGTCGAGGGAGAATGTGTGCGGGGCGGCGTTTTGGCCGGTTGGGGCTGGTTGAGAAGGTTGCGAGGATGTTCCCGCGTCGCCGTTCCGCAATGTTTGGAGCCCTTGCTCCAAGCTGGTGAGTCGCTGAAGAAGTTGTGCGAGGACTTCGGTGCCGATCGTCGTCGTTCCCTCGCTTGTCGCAACCGGGTTATGTTGCGCTTCAGCCGTCAGATTGGTCTGACCACCCGATCCTCCGGCCATTCTTACACGCGAGCGTGTGCCGAACGCCACTTTCCGACTGTCGTAATTTTCGGGAGTGGCAGTGCGAGAGATTCCTGAGTCGCTCTCATACCATGTTGCGATCAGAAGTTGATCGTAACCAGGATCACCTCAGGAAGGTTCGCACACTTCTAGTCTAGTGGTGGTGACCTCAATAGCAGAGTGAATGTAAAATGTTTGAGATAATAAAAACATGCAAGTACAACGATATAAATAAGAGTACAGGGAAATACGAATCGGCCTAGCTAGCCATGTACTCTAAGGGGTACATTCCCTTATTCAGATTCATTCCCAACCGTGCGGCGCGTACAGTTACGAAACTGTTCCCGCCAGAATCCTTCTGCCTGCAGCTGCCCGATGCCATCTGCTCCGACGGTCCAGATGCATCTCAATCGTCTGACGTTTCGAGTCAATTCCGACTCTTCACATCCGTTCTCGATACTGCATGCTCCTTTAGCTGTGGTCGGGAGTGCACTGTAATCTTCATTCATTGCTATTCGTAACATAAAATAAACGCGATAAGCCTCTATACAAATGCTTCAAAGTCACTGGCCAATTTCAACCATTGTGGGTAATTATTCATGCGCTAAAACGTATACAAACGAACCTAGCTAGTGTAGTGCATCTACGTAATTTATTACTACATATGGTGAGGGGGCACACAAGTAGTTTCTGAACATTCTCAAAATCCACAGGGCATGATCCGGGGGCCGGGAGTGGAGAGCAGCTGGGCTGGAGTGCTCGGACGAGAGCAGGAAAACGAGGCAGAATCTGCTGACTGCGCATTGTTGTGACAGGGTGGTCCAATGTGCCTCTTTGATTCCCCTCCTGCGCACGAATGAGAGGCATGGGTTGAGAGGCACGAGGTGAGAGGCACGAGGTGAGAGGCATGAGGTGAGAGGCATGAGGTGAGAGGCATGAGGTGAGAGGCATGAGGTGAGAGGCATGAGGTGAGAGTGGGAATGAGAATGAGGGCGCTCGGCATGCAGTGCACCAGCTGACTGCCCTGACCAGGCTGAGAACTCTCTTCTCGGCAAAAGAGTGTTGCATTAGCAATGATGAAAGCAGAAAGCGCGTAGCGTGGCAGGGAGGAATGATGGAACGGGGGGTGAGGCGAGGGAAGAGTTGATTGTGACTGTCTAAGGAAGTCTGAAGAGAAGTGTGGAGGCACGGGGTGTGAAAAGCTGTTGATGTGCTAGATGAAGCCGGTGCCTTGCAACGATTAGTGCCTGTGGGGAGAGCTAACTGTGAGTATCAAGGAGATATGTCTCAATTGATCTTGCACGCATGTTGCACGGAGTTGGAGTGTGATCATGAACACCTCGTGACTTGCAGTCGGACAGAAGCAGGTGCAGGGCTGGCTGGCTGGCCGGGCAAGCAAGAGACCACCAGGCCAGGTGCATGAGGGAAGGCTGCATGAGCCGTTCCTGCCTGGCTTTGGGTGTGGGCTGTACAAATCCTCCTCACACAGGAGGGAGTACGAACGGGAGAATATATCGAGAGGGTGAATTGTGTATGATGGGAGGCAGGGGTGGCGCAGGAAGAAGCGAATATATGAGTAGTACAGGAGGGCAAGAGGGGTGCGTACGCACCATCATCATGCCATCAACACAGGTTAAGGCGATCAAGCTTCTAAAGGGGTGCCACACACTCGAGACCGACCGAATTTCACAGACACTCCACCACAGCTGCTGCTGTTGATTTTGCTGCTGCTGCTAACTGTGGCTCGAAAATTGCTACCCGTGGTTGTGTCAAACTGCCTGCTGGGCTCCTGCTATTCGTGTGGGAAGCATAGGGGAATAGGGGGGAGCTGGGGAGAGGGCGAAACAGGTAGGGGCATAGTGCTGAGCGAGGAGGGGGTGTGAAATAGGTGGTGATGGCAGTGCACATGGGAAAGCAGTGCTCAGATTCATCCATCCGTCAGAAATGTATCGTTAGAAGCACCATATTGGTATGGATTGGCAAGTGTGCTATACGATGGAGGTCTGAGCAGCAGCAATGGATAGAAGAAGAGAAATAAGATGAGAGAAGAAAAAAAAACTCGTTTTTTTCACCCATTCGAGTTGCCCTCTCACCTACCAGTCGCCCTCTCACCCCCTTCTTGGCACCACCAGCGGCAATGAATCGGCAATTTCAGGGCTATCAGCCACACCTACCATGCTTGGCATATGATGCTTCAAGTGTCCTCTCATACCGCCCTAAGCCATACCTGCCATACTGCTTCGTACCATCAGTGCTGTTTCCCCAAGCCGTCTGTCTTAATACTCCCTTCTACCCTCCACTCAGTCCCACTCACCACCACCAGACGCTGACTCCCTTCCACAAGCCCCTCACCCCCTTCCTGCCACGGCTCATTCGCTGACTCTCTCACCCATGCCCACCCCTTGCTGACTCTCTCACCCATGCCCACCCCTTGCTGACTCTCTCACCCATGCCCACCCCTTGCTGACTCTCTCACCCATGCCCACCCCTTGCTGACTCTCTCACCCATGCCCACCCCTTGCTGACTCTCTCACCCATGCCCACCCCTTGCTGACTCTCTCACCCATGCCCACCCCTCGCTGACTCTCTCACCCATGCCCACCCCTCGCTGACTCTCTCACCCATGCCCACCCCTCGCTGACTCTCTCACCCATGCCCACCCCTTGCTGACTCTCTCACCCATGCCCACCCCTTGCTGACTCTCTCACCCATGCCCACCCCTTGCTGACTCTCTCACCCATGCCCACCCCTTGCTGACTCTCTCACCCATGCCCACCCCTTGCTGACTCTCTCACCCATGCCCACCCCTTGCTGACTCTCTCACCTATGCCCACCCCTTGCTGACTCTCTCACCTATGCCCACCCCTTGCTGACTCTCTCACCCATGCCCACCCCTTGCTGACTCTCTCACCCATGCCCACCCCTTGCTGACTCTCTCACCCATGCCCACCCCTTGCTGACTCTCTCACCCATGCCCACCCCTTGCTGACTCTCTCACCCATGCCCACCCCTTGCTGACTCTCTCACCCATGCCCACCCCTTGCTGACTCTCTCACCCATGCCCACCCCTTGCTGACTCTCTCACCCATGCCCACCCCTTGCTGACTCTCTCACCCATGCCCACCCCTTGCTGACCCTCTCACCCATGCCCACCCCTTGCTGACCCTCTCACCCATGCCCACCCCTTGCTGACCTCTCTCACCCATGCCCACCCCTTGCTGACTCTCTCACCCATGCCCACCCCTTGCTGACCCTCTCACCCATGCCCACCCCTTGCTGACTCTCTCACCCATGCCCACCCCTTGCTGACTCTCTCACCCATGCCCACCCCTTGCTGACTCTCTCACCCATGCCCACCCCTTGCTGACTCTCTCACCCATGCCCACCCCTTGCTGACTCTCTCACCCATGCCCACCCCTTGCTGACTCTCTCACCCATGCCCACCCCTTGCTGACTCTCTCACCCATGCCCACCCCTTGCTGACTCTCTCACCCATGCCCACCCCTTGCTGACTCTCTCACCCATGCCCACCCCTTGCTGACTCTCTCACCCATGCCCACCCCTTGCTGACTCTCTCACCCATGCCCACCCCTTGCTGACTCTCTCACCCATGCCCACCCCTTGCTGACTCTCTCACCCATGCCCACCCCTTGCTGACTCTCTCACCCATGCCCACCCCTTGCTGACTCTCTCACCCATGCCCACCCCTTGCTGACTCTCTCACCCATGCCCACCCCTTGCTGACTCTCTCACCCATGCCCACCCCTTGCTGACTCTCTCACCCATGCCCACCCCTTGCTGACTCTCTCACCCATGCCCACCCCTTGCTGACTCTCTCACCCATGCCCACCCCTTGCTGACTCTCTCACCCATGCCCACCCCTTGCTGACTCTCTCACCCATGCCCACCCCTTGCTGACTCTCTCACCCATGCCCACCCCTTGCTGACTCTCTCACCCATGCCCACCCCTTGCTGACTCTCTCACCCATGCCCACCCCTTGCTGACTCTCTCACCCATGCCCACCCCTTGCTGACTCTCTCACCCATGCCCACCCCTTGCTGACTCTCTCACCCATGCCCACCCCTTGCTGACTCTCTCACCCATGCCCACCCCTTGCTGACTCTCTCACCCATGCCCGCCCCTTGCTGACTCTCTCACCCATGCCCGCCCCTTGCTGACTCTCTCACCCATGCCCGCCCCTTGCTGACTCTCTCACCCATGCCCGCCCCTTGCTGACTCTCTCACCCATGCCCGCCCCTTGCTGACTCTCTCACCCATGCCCACCCCTTGCTGACTCTCTCACCCATGCCCACCCCTTGCTGACTCTCTCACCCATGCCCACCCCTTGCTGACTCTCTCACCCATGCCCACCCCTTGCTGACTCTCTCACCCATGCCCACCCCTTGCTGACTCTCTCACCCATGCCCACCCCTCGCTGACTCTCTCACCCATGCCCACCCCTTGCTGACTCTCTCACCCATGCCCACCCCTCGCTGACTCTCTCACCCATGCCCACCCCTTGCTGACTCTCTCACCCACGTTCAACACCTGCTCTCACCTTGGCCAGGCGGCGTCGGGAGAAAGCCACGAGCCCTCACGTCCATCCTATCGGATGCCAAGGTGAGAGCAAGTGTTGAGGGCCACATCAACACCACCTGGTGGGGTGGAGTGTGGGGAAAGGTGGGACGGGAGGAAAGCGGGGGGGTGTGGCATGCTGCTGCGTGTGGCGGCGTCTGATAGGATGGACAAGAGGGCTGTGTCAACACCGCCTAGTTGGAGAGGACGGGAATTGGGATGGGTGGTTGGGGTGGATGGACGGGTAAATTGGGATGGTTGGAACTGGGAAACTGATAGGATGGATGTAAGGGCTGCGCTGAGTCGAGACCGCCTTGGGATAGGTGGGCCCCAAGCTGCTGTCCCCCGCACTACACTACCTTTCCCCCCTCACCTGCCCACTCACCTCCTCCACGTTAGGCGCCAGCACCACAAACTTGGCCCTTCGGCTGCGCACCGCCTGCCCCTGCCAGCCCTGCCAGCACCCGCCGCCGCATCGCTCCCTGTGCGTGGGTAGCTAAGTGGGAGTGGGGTGGGGGAAGGGAGAAGAAAATTTCTCTTTCAGCCCTGCACTGCCTCCCCCACCTCCTTCAGCCCTGCCAGCACACGCCGCCGCATGGCACCGTGCGCATGGGCAGTTAAAGTGGGAGGGGGGCGGGGCTGGGGAGAGGATTGACCTCCTTCAGTGATGCTAGCACGTCGCTCCCTGCTCCCATGCGCAGGGGGTTAAGCAGAGAGGTGTGGGACGTGGAATGCGGAGGGGAGGGTTGGGGGGGGGGAGGGATGTGAAGGGGAAAGGCGGGACCTTCTTCTCCTGCCCCACCTCCTTCAGCCATGCCAGCACAACGCCCCTCACTCACACCTCGTATCTCGCACCTCACACCTCGTACCTCGCACCTCGCACCTCGCACTTCGCATCTCACATCTCGCACCCAGCTCCCATGAGAGCATTGAGACGCCATAAAAGCCTCCAGGCTGCAGCACTGGCAAATGCTGAAGCGACGGGAGGCGGGACGTGGACAGGGGAGGCGGAACGTTGCACGTCCCTGTGCTGCTCTACCCGTGGTTGGCGGAAGTGATTGCAAGAGGGGTGGCTAGGCCAGCAGGTGACTGCAAGGGGTGTGGCAAGGCCAGCAGGTGACTGCAAGGGGTGTGGCAAGGCCAGCAGGTGACTGCAAGGGGTGTGGCAAGGCCAGCAGGTGACTGCAGTGTGGCAAGGCCAGGAGGTGAGTGCATGTGGGGTGCTGAGACAGGGTTCAAATCGAAGGGGTCCTTCTGAAACGCCCTGACTTGGATGCACAGCGTGCTGGATGTCTCCTGTCTTCCAAACCATCCAAAACCGATTCCGTTGCCGGGACTTGAACCCGGGTCTCTCGGGTGAGAGCCGAGTATCCTAACCAACTAGACTACAACGGATGAGTGAGTGCGCAAGCAATGTACTTCACGGAACTACGAATTGGCCTCTTCCCTCTCCTCTTCTCACCTTCCTCATTCCCTTCTCACCCATTTCTACCACCCACACGCTCCACTCCCTCACCAGGAGGGCAGTGCTGAAGACGTCGGCATTGGATAAGCCACTCAGGGGACTGCCATGTCAATCAAGCCACAAACTGACTGTAGTTGTCTCGGTTTGACTCATGGTTCTCCTCCACCATCTCCCCCCCTCTTGCTTGCTCCACTACCCCACCATCTCTCCCTCTTGTGCTCACGGCACCGCCTACCATCTCCCCCTCACCAGGAATTTGTTGCGGAATGATTGTTCAATGGAGAAGTCACTGAAAGAACTGTCGAGAGGAGAAATGGTGATGTCACGCTGAGACAAGAGGAGTGAAGTGGAAGAGAAAGATTGGAACAGCAGACATGAGGCACAGGGGCTAGTAGGGCGTTCAGGTGCAGCAAACCACCCACATACCCCCCTACAACTCACCCAATAGCTCAACACATAGCCACCTGGTAGTCCCCTGTTCATAAGCTCCTAGTGATTTCCTGGAAGCCACCTGGTAATTTCCTGGAAACCACCTAGTGGAAATGCACACACCGCCCCCACAGCTTACCTGGTAAAAGGCGTGGAAGAAGAGGATGGGCGCATGAAGGCAGAAACCTGCAGGGTGGTGGTGACGGAAGATGGTGATGGGCATGAGTGAAGGGGAATATGTGAAGGGACATGTGTGAAACGATATGGGTGAATGGGCATGTGTGAAGCGACATGGGAGAGGGGGATGTGGAGGGAGAGGGGGATGCGGAGGGAGAGGGGGATGCGGAGGGAGAGGGGGATGCGGAGGGAGAGGGGGATGCGGAGGGAGAGGGGGATGCGGAGGGAGAGGGGGATGCGGAGGGAGAGGGGGACGCGGAGGGAGAGGGGGATGCGTAGGGAGAGGGGGATGCGGAGGGAGAGGGGGATGGGGAGGGAGAGGGGGATGCGGAGGGAGAGGGGGATGCGGAGGGAGAGGGGGATGCGGAGGGAGAGGGGGATGGGGAGGGAGATGGGGATGCGGAGGGAGATGGGGATGCGGAGGGAGAGGGGGATGCGGAGGGAGAGGGGGATGCGGAGGGAGATCGGGATGCGCCGCCTCACAGCTCCCTGCTCCCATGCGTCGTTCACCCTGAGGTCCCCGCCTCCCCATCCCCCCTCTCCTCCTCCCCCATCCACCCCTCCCCCATCTCCCCCTCTCCCCGCACTCGCACTGCCGCCCACGCTCGCGCGCCTGTGTCGCCAGCACCACCATGCGTTTCAAGCGGCTCGCTCGCTTCCAATTCGGTGTCCGCCTCTCCTTCCCCCACCTCACACCAATTCTCTCCAAAGTTGCTGCCTTCACCCACCCCTCCACAGCGCGTCTCCACGCACCCTCTCGCGCGCACGCCCTCCTACACCTTTCCCCCTTTTTCCCCCCTTTCCCGCCTGTCCCCACCTGTCCCCACCCCTCCACCTGCGCCTTCTCCCCTCGTCCGCCCTCCTGCCCCCCATTCTCCCACCCCTCGCATCATTTCCGCCGAACCCAAACCACACGTGCTAGTATCCACCTATTCCCATCCCCTCCCTGCGACTCCCCTCCCCGTTCCGCCTCCCCTTCCCCCTCCGCGGGGCCGCCCGTCATTTCTGGGCCCATCGACGCTCAAACCGATTTCCGCGGGCTCTCGCGGAGGCGGCGGTAGAGGCGCGCGTGTAGCGGGAATGGCGGCGGTAGCGGCGGGGGCGGCGTCGGTGGCGACGGCGAGGAAGTGGTCCAGGGGGAGCGCAACTGGCGCGGACTTCCACCGCCTCTTCGCGCAAGTGCCGGCGCCGCCGCTGTGGTGCTCACAGCGACGGTGCTGTTTCCGCCACTGCAGCCGCCGGAAGCCTCGCCTGCGCGCCCGTGCTACCCCCATCCGCCATTGCCGCTGATCCTCGCGCCTCTGATGTAGCGGTTCTTTTTGCTCTTGTCATCTAGTGTCGCTATGTCTGTCCCCGTTTCGTCGTTTACTGTCGTTCAGTCTGTCGAATTTTCGTCGCCGTCCGTTGCGCTCTCGTCACCCTATCTGTCGCTTCGAAGCGATCTCTACCTAGCCACGGGTCTTCCTGTCCTGTGACTCCAGCCTACTAGGCTAGTAGCCAGCGGACCGCAAATGGTGGCCCGACGCAATTTGGGCTGACACAAAGAACTGATTCGTTATGAGTGGAGATGTTTCAAGAATGTACTGAAATGTATTCAAAATTGAAAGCTGAAGAGCGCTACTGAATGCCCATTTACGTTCAAAACAAGATTATACAGGGAGAGTCGATCTAGGCGAGAACCTCGGGGTAGATAGGTTCAGAAGTGCGGCGAAAGGTATGGTGGCGACTCGGAAGTGGTTCGGTCGGGGCGAACTTCTAGGCCGAACCAGTTGACGTGAGCACCTCAGAACACTCTCGCTAAAGTAATCCTTTCAGAAGTGTTACGAGTGCAATGGAGTGAACGAACGAGAATTGCACTATCGAAGCAAGAGTACAATGAGCGAAGGCATGAGCGAAGAATATATAGCGAAACTACAGTGGTAACGGTAATGGACTGTGGTTGTCGCGCGACGGGCCTGGGACTGAGGTTGGGAAAAGTGTCGAAGCGGAGGCCCGGAGCGCGGGTTACCCGCCGAGCCGTGAGGTCGGGGTGCGACGTGCGAAGGTGGCGGGCGGATTGTCGATGCGAGGATTGCGAGTGGTAACGGTGCTGACTGTGGTGCTACAGTGATGTATGCGTTGAGCAGGGACGCGAAGTAAGGAAAAAGAGATTTTCCTTACACTACCCCCCCCCCCTTAAGGAGGTCCTCCTTACGAAAGTGCGTGTACATCCCTGAAATTCCGGCTGCGCAGATACTCGGTGAGGACGGGGTGGTGTTCGATTCTGTCCAGGGGAACCCAATTGTCTTCGGTGGGTGTACGGTCCTTCCAGCGGAGTAAGAACTCGATCCTTCGGGCTCCTCGAGGGTCACGAACTCTGTGGCTCAGGATTTTTTCGGGGGTGATGATTGGTTCAGTCGGCGGTCGTGTCATGCTGGCTGGGCGATTGCGTGGGAGTTGGCTTGTGGACGGGACGTAGGGGCGAAGCAGGCTGACGTGGAACGAGGGGCTGACGTACCAGTCAGCAGGGAGGAGGAGGTGAGCGGTGACGGGGGTTATCATGTGGCTTATGCGAAATGGCCCGCAGTATCGGGGGCGGAGTTTCGGGGTGATGGGCAGTCGGAGATTTTGGGTGTCGAGTAAAACTAAGTCGTCGGGCTGGTAAGTGACAGGTCTGCGGTGGCGGTCGGCGTTGCGTTTAGCGATGATGTTAGCTTTTTTAATTGCGTCTGCTGCCCTGGTCCGTGCTGCTTGCAAAATTTCGGCGAACTGTTGCGCGCGTGGAACCGGGTTGTCGGGATTCGGGGTCATGGGTACTGTTGGGTCTTGTCCGTAATTCAGGTAAAACGGTGACTGTTGGGTCGTGGCGGATGGGGCGTTGTTGTATGCGAATTCGATGAGTGGCAGTTGCTGTTCCCACGTGTTTGGGTCGTCGCACGTAGCCCGGATGAGCTGTTCCATGGTCTGATTTGTCCGTTCTGTCTGTCCGTCTGTTTCGGGATGGTACGATGAACTAAACTGTAGTCGTGTGCCGAACTGCTGCCACATGTTTTGTCAGAGTTATATGACATAGCTACTGTAGGCTATAGTGGGGTAGCACATATGGGGTACAGTTGCCTAGGGTTTGCCTTTTGTACCCAACTTTCACTTAGTCATTTCATTCCTGTTTTCTTGATTCACATGGTATAGAGCGGGTTCCTACATGGGACCGTTCCTTCCTAAGGGCCCACCATAAGAATTTTTTTTTTTTTTTAGCTGCCCGCGCACATTGCGCCCTGCCCTAAATTTTTTTTTTTAGCGGCCCCTACGCTGCCCCTACGCGGCCCCTACGCCGCCTCCCACGCGCCCCCTATGCGGCCCCTGGCGGCGCCCTGACGAGGCCCCTGCCGGCGCCCTATCGCGGCCCCTGACGCGCCCCCTGGTGGCGCCCTGACGCGGCCCTGACGCGGCCTGACGCGGCCCCTGGCGGCGCCCTGACGCGGCCCTGCCGTGGCCCCTGACGCGGCCCTGACGCGGCCTGCCGCGGCCCCTGCCGCGGCCCTAAAGCGGCCCCTGACGCGACCCTGACGCGGCTCTGCCGCGGCCCTGACGCGGCCCTGACGCGGCCCCTACCGCGGCCCCTGGCGGCGCCCTGACGCGGCCCCTGACGCGGCGCCCTGACGCGGCCCTGCCGCGGCCCCTGACGCGGCCCCTGCCGCGGCCCCTGACGCGGCCCCTGACGCGGCCCCTGTCGCGGCCCCTGACGCGGCCCCGCCACCTACCTTTCCGGCCACGCCGCCTCCTCTCAGCGGCCCCGCCGCCTCCTCCCAGCGGCCCCGGACGCCGCCCTCTCAGCGGCCCCGCCGAGCCGCCCAGCAGCCTAGCCGCCCAGCAGCTGAGCCACCGAGCCGCCCAGCAGCCGAGCCGCCGAGCCGCCCAGCAGCCGAGCCGCCCAGCAGCCGAGCCGCCGAGCCGCCCAGCAGCCGAGCCGCTGAGCCGCCCAGCCGCCGAGCCGCCCAGCAGCCGAGCCGCCCAGCAGCCGAGTCGCCGAGCCGCCCTGCAACCGAGCCGCCCGAGCCGCCCTGTCCGGTAAGAGCAGCGCCTCTCTCACAGCACTGCCCTCACCCCACTGTTTGCGCTGCTAGTCTACTGCTGTCATGGCTACCCCTAGTGTCCTCGCTTTTGACGCTGAGGGTCGGGCCATTGACTTTGACGTCTGGATAGATGACCTGCAGCTTTTCTTACAGTGCGATAGGGCAGACGACCTCTCCCTCTTTGACCTCACTTCTGGTGCCTCTCCTGCCCCCGCCACTGATGCTGACGCAACTGTTCGCTCCCAGTGGGCCACGCGCGATGCTGCTGCACGTCTTGCTATGCGTCGCCACCTGCCTACCTCTGAGCGTGCGCACTTTAGCCAGTACAAGAGTGCTCAGACCTTGTACGACGCTGTAGTTGCACGCTACTCCTCCCCTGCCACTGCTGCACTGAGTCGCCTCATGCTACCGTACCTCTTCCCTAACCTTGCTGCCTTTCCCACAGTCGCTGACCTCATTACGCACCTACGCACTAGTGACACTCGCTACCGCGCTGCGCTTCCTGCTGAGTTCTACTACATAGTCACCCGGCTCCCTGACTCCCTTCGCGTAGTCAGGGACCACTTCCTCTCAGTTTGCCCCACCACTCTCACCGTTGACCTCCTCGAGAAGTCCCTCCTAGCAGCAGAGAAGAGCATAGTAGCTGTAGGAGCCTCTCGTGGTGACCCTCGCACCCCCATCTTTGAGGGGTGTTCCCCCTCCCCCCTTTTGCCCTCTGTTGCCTCTGCTGCTGCGGCCGACCTCGTTGGGCTTGAGTCGGTCGGTGCGGCGTCTACCCCTAGCGGGAGACGCCGCCCTGGCAAGGGCAAGGGGGGCAGGGGCGCTGGAGGAGCTAGCGGGGGCGGTGGAGGCGGCAGTGGAGGCGGTGGAGGAGGTGGGGGTGGCGGTGGGGGTGGTGGCGGGGGTGGAGGTGTCGGTGGCGGCAGTGGAGGCGGAGGCGGCAGCGGCAGTGGCGGAGGGAGCGGAGGTGGCGGCGGTGGAGGAGGAGGCGGCGGAGGAGGTGGAGCTGGTCGGGGTGGCGCTGCGCAGAGGGTCGGCTCCGGTGGTGGTCAGCGCCAGCAGCAGCAGCAGCACCAGCAGCGCACTCGTGACATCCCCTCCCCTCAGCAGCTCCGTGAGTGGTACACTGCACGCCAGAGGGGTGGGGGTACTGGTCCGTGCACCTACGTCCTCCGCACCGGCGACCGCGCGGGTGAGCAGTGCGGGGGTGCGCACTCCACCCAGCGCTGCTTTGGCCGCCTGACGGACGCTTGGCGTCACCAGTTCCCTGAGGCCACTGAGATCCCCCGCTGGGGTGAGCTGTCTAGGGCGGGTGTGGCTGTCTTTGACCTTGACTTTGATGTTATTCTTGCTGCCATGTATACTGTGACTATTAGTGATGAGGGTGACTGTTACCGGTGTTTTCCGCCCGACCCGGGCATTGAGACTGCTGCTCTAGGTACTGGTGAGGCTGCTGCTCTAGGTGCTAGCGAGGCTGCTGCTCTAGGTGCGTCTGCTCCCTCAGGTGCTGGTGAGTCTGCTCTCTCAGGTTCTGCGTCGGCTTCGGCCTCCCACACCTTCACCCTTGACTCGGGGGCTTCTCGCTCCTTCTTTCGAGACCGCACCACACTCACGCCGCTTAGCCGGCCAGTTGCAGTCTCTCTGGCAGACCCCTCTGGGGGTCCTGTCCTTGCTCACTTCTCCACTGTCCTCCCGTGTCCGGCGGCCCCCTCTGGCACCCTGTCTGGTCTTTACCTTCCCTCGTTCTCTACGAACTTGGTGAGTGGTGCTGACCTACAGGATGCGGGGGTTCACCAGTTCACTCCTGCGAGTCGGCGGGTGACCCACTGCACGGACGCTCGGACAGGCCGACACCTGGCCACGTTTACCCGTCGGCCGGGGTCGAGCCTGTACACCCTGACCACTGCGTCTCCTCCAGTCACTGCGTCTGGTCAGGTAGCTGCGTCGGGTCAGGTGTTTGCTGCAGCGTCCAGGTCTGGTCCTGAGTCTGCCCCCTGTTCGTGTCGCCTCCTGTCTCACGAGACTCTCCTCTGGCACCACCGCCTTGGTCACCCCTCCCTGCTTCGTCTCCGAAGCATGGCCTCCCGTGTCCTTGTCTCTGGTCTTCCCCGGTCCCTCCCTCCCCTTCCTCCGGGGCCTGGCCCTACCTGCGTCCCCTGTGTCGAGGGGCGGCAGCGGGCTGCCCCTCACTCCTCCCAGTTTCCTCCGACAGAGGCCCCGCTGCAGACGCTTCACATGGACGTGTGGGGCCCGGCCCGCGTCCGTGGACAGGGTCACGAG